GTTAAGTTTGTTACTTACCAGTACATGGGGTCGGTTGTACTGATACTACACTTCTGCACATTGCGTATAAATGTTGGCTGCTGAGGTTGCTGTGTTCGGTGGGAGCTAGATTTGCAGATGTACCTGCGTTCCGGTTGTAGCTGCCTCTTGTTCATGGTAGCGTTAGAGTTTAAAACTCTGTTTATGTACTTTTCAAACAGAAAGTGTATTTAGTTCATATCAACTTTGTAAACTCTATTCTTAGAAGCTCATGATTTGTACTACCAGTCCTTGGGAAAGGTATAGGATTTAGATAATTCCTTTGTTAAATCGTCTTTTTATAATTATTGAAATTTGATAGTTACTAGTGGATTTTGGGTCGTGACAGGGCTATTCTCTTCCTCTTCCCCCGTTGGCGGAGGAATTCTGCCACTACTACGGCATTTGTCCGGCCCAGGTCTCCCCCTATATTTGGAAACTCTTTCTTATGTTGATAAAGTACGGGGAGCTGGCCAACCGTGGGATTTCCATCCGCCATCTGCTGTATCATTTTGCGCCAAGCTTTCACAGGGGTACGACCTCCGCCACCCTGGGACCAAGGGACTGGTGGTGAAAATGGACGATAAGACAAATCGTCGATTTTGGTTCAATTTTTTCTATATCAAAACCAAGCACGTGGTGGCGAACCCCAGTGGATTCCCTGAGGCGTGGAACTTCGCCCGTAAGTGTTTTTTCCTAACTGATTTTTGTTCTCTCTTTGGCGACTTAATCGTTCTTCTTCCTTTTTGTGCAGCCGAGAAGGAGCCTCCTACGTTGGTCGCCGATATTCGCGACTGGGTGGCTCAAATTTTTCCCCACATGGAGGGAATCCATGAATGGTCGTCGTTAAACATGCATTTTGGACGTAAACCTTCTTCGACCGGTAAGTCAAGTTTCGATCTTCAGTTACTTCAACCTTAATAGCGTCTTCTTTTTCACTTTATGTAGTTTTTCTTTATTGTTAGGTCAGAGGGTTCCGAGGAAAGCGAAGGCTCCCACCCTCATTTTTAATCAATCAGGTACCTCGATCGGGTTGCTCGCTGTGACTGTAGGCGAGACCGCGCAGACTACCGTTTCTTATCAAGCCCCGACCCCACGCAGGCCTAGTTGCCGGGCGGCTGTCCCATCAAAGGAGACTCCATCTTCTCCTATACTGCATCTAGTGGACGAGTCGTCGCCGAGCGAGGAGGAAGCAATTTCGCTAAAAAGGCAGAGAGTAGAGGTTGGCGGCGAGGCGGTAGGGAACGAAGAGCCAACGAGGGGTGATCCCGAGGTGGCCACGATCGCACCCGAGGGTGGCATGGTTTTGGACGCAGAGACTACGTCCCCTTCAGATATGGAGATTGCTCCCTTGTCAGAGGTCGCCATGGAAAGAGGAGGGCGGTCATAGGTAGCGGAGGTCGTTCGGAGGAGTGATCTGTCGACATCAGAGCGGGCCGACATTCCTTCCTCTATCGAGGAGAGGGAGAAAGGTATGGCCATGGATGGATATGAGTCTGGTTCCGATGTCGACCACGGAGAGGAAAGGATGTTCGTGAGGGGTTTACCCGGGTAGAGGTGAGAACGGAGGGATCTACTCGTTCGATATTCATTCCCTCGGATTGCGACTTGTTGATGAACACAGAGAGTAGTCCCTTCTTTAGTCCCTCTTTGCTCTGGCATCGAGAACAGGACTTTACGGTCGTTTAAGGATTCCGATCTGTTGTTAGGCATATCCAGAATGGCTTTAAGGAAAAGTTTGTATATTTGTTTTTGTTCTTGTACCTTAAGTCCTTTCTCCTTTTTGTCTTTACTGAATCATTTTGGCTCTTCCTTTTTCCCTTAGACTCTCATTTTGGAGATCGAGAGCGCCCATCGAGAGGAGAAGCTGAAGGTGGTTTTCAAGAAAATAGTTGTGAAGTATCGCAAATACCGTGACAGGTTCTATGAGATGCGTGCTCGACTCAGCGCGGACGGTAATTTCCAATCTCTCAAAGATGAGTTGAGGTAGAAGGACGATGAACTTGTGAGGGTCATCGGCAAATGCAGCGAGCTCGAGGGAGCGCTGGGAGTCAAGGAGGACAAGCTCGAGGTAAGAAAGGGGGCTGTGGCTGAGTGTGTCGACCTACAAGCGCAAGTGGCATCCCTATGGGTCGAGCTTGAGCAGAGCTCGATCAGAGCTAACGACTTAAGTGATGAGTTGGTCGAAAAAGTTGCAAAGTCGGAGTGGGCCGAGGAGGCCAGGACGACAGCTTTGGCGAAGGTGGCGGCATTGGAGGATACAATCCGTGTTCTCAGGTCTGAGCGGGCGAATGATGTGAAGAAGGACGTGCTCACGGAGGCGAGGTTTGACAAACAGATTGGTGGTTTTGAGAAAATGATTTCGGACCTAAATGCACAGATTGCCGTTCTTTAGGCCGAAAAGGCGCAGCTACTGGCTGAACCGTCTTCATCTCGTGCTTCCACTTATCCCGATGTTCCACGGGATTTGTACGAAAAGTGGATTCATGCCGAGGCTCAACTAGACATATTCAGGGGCTTGATGACGCCCGGGAGAGTTTCTAAGGCTGAGTTTGAGGATGCTCGTGTTAAGGCGCGAGTAGCTCGGGTCGCTTGTGGTTATGATCCTGCTACGCTGGGGGCTGGTGATGGTGAATATGACTTGGACAGGCTTGAGTAAGGTGCTTGGTATGACGTCGAATACTTCGATTGCAAGGATGATGATGGGGACGATGGTAGGGGTAATGCTGCCGAGTAGTAATTTTTGTAATCTTTTGTTTTTATTTTTGTGGGTGTCTGTTCGGCCCTTGTAAGATGCCTTTTGAAATTATACTTTTGATGTTTATTTCCGAGTCTCCTGTTTTTTCCTTGAATATTTTCCTCAATTGATTGCCTTGATTAAAAGAATTGTGTTGGTAGGCTTTAGCTCGATCGTGATCGAGTGTCTTTGATTACTTCGCGTGAAGTCGAACCTTGTCGTAATTAACTCGAACGAGGTTATTCTATGAATTAAGTTCAAGTTAGACCGAATGTAAGTTGAATTCGAGCGAGTTCAAACGTCGTATTTAACTAATTCAAACTATGTCGAATGTGAGTGTCTTAACTAATTGGAACGAGGTCGAATATAAGTTGATTCGAGTGAGGTTGAATGTTACTCTTAATTAATTCGAACGAGGTCGAATGTGAGTTGATTCGAGCAAGGTCGAATGTTACTGTTAATTAATTATAACGAGGTCAAGTGTGAGTCGATTCGAGCGAGGCCGAATGACGACTCGTAGTTGATTCGAACGAGGTCGAGTGAGAGTCGATTCGAGCGAGGTCGAATATTGACTCTTAATTAATTCGAACGAGGTCCAATGTGAGTCGATTCGAGCGAGGTTGAATGTTGACTCGTAGTTGATTCGAACGTGGTCGAATGTGAGTTGATTCGAGCGAGGTCGAATGTTAACTCTTAATTAATTCGAAAGAGGTCGAATGTGAGTCGATTCGAGTGAGGTCGAATGTAGACTCTTAATTAATTCAAACGAGGTCGAATGTGAGTGCATTGATTGGTGCAGAGTTAATACTTGGTGGAGACATAGGCGAACATCATGTGTTTGTATGCTTTGCTAACATATACACATTGGAGAAATTTACACGTTTTTCGGGCCGGTATTCCAGTCCCAGTCTATCTAGTCCCTTTATTGTTCGACCTAGAAAAGTATTCGAGGGGTTGAGCAATGAACGTGCCAACTTGTAATATCACCTGCTCGTGCTTTAACTTCGAAATGTCCTCCTTGTCGCCTCGTTAAAAACCTCCTCGAGAAAACCCAATTGGGACAAAACTCAGGTGAGGAAAAAAGAGTACGGCTCAGAGAACATCTTTCCTTACAAGTTGAAGTACTTGAGGTGGGCGATGTTCCAGTTGTTTGGTAGTACTTTTCCTTCCATCGTTTCTAGCTGGAATGACCCTTTGCTTGCTGTTGCCATAACTTTGTATGGGCCGGCCCTGTTAGTCCCTAGCTTTCCTTCTCGTGGATCCTTGCTTGCCTGTATTTTGGCTTTGAGTACGTAGTCTCCGACTTTGAGCAGTCTGATCTTGGCTTTTTTGTTGTAGTATCGCTCTGCTTGTTGTTTCTGGGCGACCATCCTTATGTATGCCATGTCTCTTCGTTCTTCAGCCTTATTGAGTTCTTGCCTTCTGCTTTCGTTGTTTCTCGGCCCGCTCTCGTGTGAGTACCTTAGACTTGGTTCACCGACCTTGACCGGTATTACTACATCAATCCCATAGACCAGTGAGTATGGTGTTTCTCATATGATTGTTTTCGGCGTTGTGCGGTATGTCCATAGCACTTCCGGCAACAACTCCGGCCATAGTCCTTTGGCGTTCTCGGGCTTCTTCTTCATGATATTCAATATTGACTTGTTGGAGGATTCCGCTTGCCCATTGCCCGCGGGTGATATGGCGTGGAGAGTATTAATTTGATATGCCATTTCTTGAAGAACTCGACGATCATTTTCCCAGTGAATTGAGGTCCACAACTGATTTCTTTGGGGAGGTCGAAGCGGCATACAATATTCTTCAATATGAAGGCGATAACTTCTTGCTCGCGTATCTGGGCGAACGATCCTGCTTCAACCCATTTAGAGAAATAGTCAGTTAAAACCAAAAGGAATCATACATTACCTCACGCTACTGGGAGGGGGCCGGCAATGTCCATCCCCTATTTGATGAAAGTCCATGGCGAGGTGACTGAGTGGAGGTGCTCGCCCGCTTGGTGGATCATGGGGGCGTATTTCTGGCATTGTTCGCATTTTCTCACGAATTCGGCGACCTCTTTTTTTATTGTGGGCCAGTAGTAGCCTACTCGTATGAGGTATTTGACTAGGGATTGATTGCCGGTATGAGCTCCGCAGTGTCCTTCATGGACTTCCTCCAGAACGCGCCGCGTCTGGTTTGGGCCTAAGTATTTTGCTAGGGGGCCGCCATACATTCTTTTGTATAAATCATTGTTGATGACGCTCTACCTGTCTGCCTGCATTCGAAGCTTCTTGGCTTCCTTTTTATCGTCTGGAAGCACTCTGTCCTGCAAATATGTGACAATACGATTGCGCCAGTCCCAAGTTAGGTTTATAGTTCGTACCTCGATTTGATAGATCGACGAGTGGAGGAGAGTGACCATATACCCTTCTTCGGTTATGCTTTCAGTGGCCGCTGCCAGTTTGGCAAGGACGTCTGCTTCGATATTTTGTGTTCGAGGGATTCGGTCGAGCTGGCATTCATCAAACTCGGGTAATAGCTTGCAGATCTCGCCCTGGTATTTTTGCAGTCTTTTTGTTCCTTGATTTGGAATGTCCCTATGACTTGATTGACGATGAACTGAGAGTCGCACCGTAGGACGACTGCTTCGCTCCGTACTTGAGTGCTAACTTTAGCCCTGCAATCACGGCCTCATACTCAGCTTCGTTGTTAGTCATATCTGGGTATCTTATGGACTAGCGAGTTACTTCACCTGTTGGAACCTCGAGCACGAGTCTCAGTCCCAATCCCGACGCGTTCGAAGCGCCATCTATCACAACACCTATAGGTCGTGTATTTTGGGGGGAAGTATGGGCGGCTTCTTTTTCGACTTCAGGCATTATTTTTGTGCTGAAGTCGGCGACGAAGTTGGCGAGCACTTGCGGCTTTATCGTCGTTTGCAGCTGATAGGTTATATCGTGCTCGCTCAATTGTATGGCCCATTTGGCCAAACTGCCCGATAGCTCGGGTTTGTGCAGAATACTCCTTAGGGGAAAGGTCGTTACTACCGAGATGGGGTGGCACTGGAAATAGGGTCTAAGCTTTCGAAGCTACAACCAAAGCCAGGGCCAGCTTCTCGAGGTGTGGATACCTCGTCTCGACATCAACCAGAGTTTTATTAATATAGTAAATGGGAGACTGCGTACCTTTGTTTTCTCGGACCAAAACCGCACTTACGGCCATATCAGACATAGCTAGATAGACGAGGAGACGCTCACCAGGTTCCCTTGTGGTGAGTAGTGGGGGTCAAGATAGGTACGCCTTTAATTCTTTCAAGGCTTCGACGCACTCGGAGTTCCATTGTCTTTCTTGAGTACGCCGAAAAATTTATGACATCTATCGGAGGATCGTGAGATGAAGCTCGACAGGGCGGCTATGCGACCAATCAGCTTTTGTACATGTTTTTTACTAGTCAGGTTCCCTGGTTTTCCTTCTATAGCTTTGATTTGGTCGGGGTTGACCTCGATGCCTCGTTGTGATACCAAAAAACCGAGGAACTTTCCCGAGGTTACTCCGAAGGTGCACTTTACGGGGTTCAATTTCATACCGTATCGACGCAGTTTGTCGAAGGTCTCTTTCAAGTGGTTGATGTGATCTTCCTTCCTTTTCGACTTAACCAACATGTCGTCGATGTAAACTTCCATTGTTTTGCCGAGCTGGTCTTTGAACATTCTTGTCACCAACCTCTGATACGTCGCCCCCGCATTTTTCAGTCCGAAAGGCATCAGTCTGTAGCAGTACATTCCCTGATGAGTGATGGAGGCGGTCTTCTCCTGGTCTTCCTCTTCCATGAGGATCTGATTATAGCCCGAGTATGCGTCTAGGAAGCTGACCAGCTTGTATGGGGAAGTGGAAACGAATCTTTCAGGCAGGCTTTTTTTAGGTCTGTGAAGTCCACGCACATCCACTACTTCCCGTTCTTCTTTTTCACCATGACCACATTGGCGACCCATTGAGGATATCTTGACTCCCTCATGGAGCCATTTTCGAACAACTTCTCTACCTCTTCGCGGACTGTGTCATTTATGGTGGCGTTGAATTTCCGCCTGATTTGTCTCACCGGGGGGTGGAATGGGTCGACGTTCAGCTTGTGTGTTGCTATATCCTTTGGGATACCTGGTATGTCTGCAAGCAAACAGGTCTATGTTACTTTTGAAGAATTGACGGAATTTACCTGGTTCTTGGAGCTTGTGTCGATGAAAGCTTTCTTGCTGTGGTCGTTATCATCGAGTTGGACGGGGTCGAGGTCTTCTATGGTTGATGTTGTGGCTTCTACGACTTCGGGGTCTTTGATCACATCCTTCTCGTCCTCGCTCGACCTCGACCCTGTTGATTGCTATATTTCTTTAGCTTTACCCTTCAATTGTTGGGTGTGTGTGCTTGGGCGATGCGGTAGCATTCTCGGGTGGTGCGTCGTTCTCCCCGGATGATGAATACCCCCCAAGGGGTGGGAAATTTGATGACTTGATATAAGCTGGAGGGGACGGGTTTCATGGCGTGTATCCAAGGTTGACCTATGATGGCGTTGTACGCCGTATCCTGGTCCATATATATATATATATATATATATATATATATATATATATATATATATATTATCTTTTCTGCTATATAAAAAATAGTATATAATTATACATTTTATATTATATTCAGGATACTGATTATTCGTTGTAGATTAGTTGTCCATAGTGTTATGCGAATGATAGTTTGGCGAAGCAAATGAGTGGTACAAGGCAGAGAGCAGGAGGATAGTGTAGCAAAAGATGGAAACCAGCTTGCCCACAAAAGTCGTTTTGAGCCGTTTGAAAACAGGGGACCCATCCACATCCACATCCTGCAACCTTTTTCAATGGTAAGATTTTCAAATTTATTGAGAGGTTCGAAAAAGTTAATTTGACTCCTCTCTTTCTATATCTGCCACTCTCTGTAGTTTATTTAATGTGTTTTTCTTGAAAGTAGAAGAGGGGGTCCTGGTCCTCTCTCTCTACCTGTATCTTATTGTCTGTACTAACAAGGGTCAGTTTTCAAGATACTCTCCTTCACACTTGACTTCCTTCCTTTTCCTTTTTTTGAAAAAAACTGTCACTTTAACATAAAATAGAAGTTTGAGAGAAGATGAGTGCTTCAAAATTCATAAAATGTGTAACAGTAGGTGATGGTGCTGTTGGCAAGACCTGCATGCTCATTTGTTACACTAGTAACAAGTTCCCCACAGTCAGTTTCCTCTTTACCTCATTTTGTGGTTTTACTTGTTCCTCTTTCTTTCTTTCTTTTTCCTTATTTTCTTTTCTTGACCTTCTTGAAGTAGCTAGCTATTTTGGGCTTTTACTTGCAGGACTATATTCCAACTGTGTTTGACAATTTCAGTGCTAATGTTGCTGTGGATGGGAGCATTGTCAATTTGGGGTTGTGGGATACTGCAGGTACTTCCACTTTTTATTTAAAAAATTTCCCTAAATGAAATTAGGTTTCTTAGCTTTTACTTGCTAATGGTTTTCTAACTGTGTCTTAAAGGTCAAGAAGATTATAGCAGGCTGAGACCACTAAGCTATAGGGGTGCAGACATCTTTGTGCTAGCTTTCTCTTTAATCAGCCGGGCCAGCTACGAAAATGTTCTAAAAAAGGTACTACTATTATCCAACAACACTTTATTGGTCTCGTTCTTTGAAAAATGAAAAAACTTTCTCCTGAACAAATATGTTGGTACATCTTCAACCTGCTATTTCCATTTAAATGAATAGATTTACTCCAATAAAAGCAATTCTCAGTTACAAGGATTTAATTTTATTATGAATTATATGCAGTGGATGCCTGAACTTCGTCGTTTCGCACCCAATGTTCCAATTGTACTTGTTGGGACAAAATTAGGTATGTATTGAACTGATATAATTACGATCATGATTTACTCTTTGCGGAGATTTCTTCCTAGTCCATAGTATTATAACCTGTGATTAATTTCACGACAGATCTTCGAGAAGATAATCGGTATCTAGCAGATCATATGGGCTCAAACATTATAACACCTGCTATGGTACTGTGACTATATCATTTTGAATTTGAAAATGCTCAGTATAGATTGTACAACAGTAATTCAGTTAGCTCCACTGCAGGGTGAAGAGCTAAGGAAACAAATTGGTGCAGCAGCTTATATAGAGTGCAGCTCTAAAACACAACAGGTATATATATTTCAAATGTGCTACAAAATAAATTTTCCAGAATACCTAGAGTATTATCAGCTACATGTTGACTGCTAGGAAAATTTTCGCTATTAATCGGAGTAATATATAAAGTTTGCCTATTTACTAAACTGTTTTATGTATCTGTCAGAATGTGAAAGCTGTTTTTGACACTGCAATCAAGGTTGTGCTTCAACCTCCTAGGAGGAAGGAGGTGGCGAGGAAGAAAAGGCGCAGAAGCACTGGTTGCTCAATTGTGTAAGTTCAGCATTTTAGTATGTATCTTGTCAAGACAAATTGGACCTTATGCTATTAAACATCTGTATTCTTATGAGTTAGCCTTATCGCTTGCATTAGCAACACAAAAAGAAACTTAAGTCAGATGCTTCATCAAGTGCAAACAACCACAACATTGAACTCACTTGGATATTTTGTTAAACTACCAAAATGAGGGATCTTTGGAAAAAAAAACTATAACAGTCAATGTACATAAAGATACTAATCTGGCAAACAACATATAGAGTGAAAATTTTTGTGCAATGTGTGAATTAAGCCCGATACCTATTGTGAAGTGCCTCTTTCTTGGAATTGGTATATTTCATATTTTCTTTTTCTTTTTTTAACTACACTACTTGCTATTACCAGGTTAAGAAGCAACTTCGGAAATGTGCTTCATTAGAGCATGTGAAATTGGATCTAGTGTTGTTTGATCATAAGTCATAAGCAAGCAAGGCAATTGTTTCTGGCTTAGGGTGTGTTTGGTATGAAGAGTTTTCCAATTTTTCGATGTTTGGTTTGGCTTAAATGTTTTGGAAAATATTTCCCTCTTGAACTCACTTTCCTCCAATTGGAGAAAATGTTTTCCCTATCAAGAGAAAGGGAAAATATTTTTCAAAACTATTTTTCAACTTTTCTCACCCTATTCCTCATCCCTACCAACCCCCACCAACCAAACAAGGCAAAATAATTGATAAAAACCGCTCATTTTCCAGGAAAACATTAACACACCCTTATCGGTGCTTATCTAGTTTTAGTTCGGTACGGTTTGTTCCAAATTTCTAAGAACACACCGAATCTTTCTCCATATGCCATAATATTGAGGCATCCTTGGTTGCTCTCACTAATGATAGGCATCTGCAGGTGGTCCACATTTATAAAATCTTTTGATTGCTCTGCCAATATTTTTAACTCTACAGATGAAACCATGATATATATGTTGATTGTTGATCTTCTATTTGTTCAATCTCTAATGTCTCACTTGGTTTCGACAGCAGGGGGATCGTGTGTGGAGGCTGTGTCGCTTAGGAAAGTTTAGGTTTGACGCTCGCCATATATATCCTTTCCAACAACTACTGACTCGAGTGCTTGCCCGTTGTTTTTCCGTGGTTCTAGGCGAAGGCCGGAGATTATGATATGGCTGAAGAATATAGTATTGTATTATCTGTTTTGTACCAACTAGTCGTGGATAAGCAGAGGGAATTGTTGATTCCTCAGGTCATGGT